TGCAATAGGGAAGGGAATTTTTATTTTGAAGTAAACTTGTGATCATATTTGATGGTTTAAAATGGTCTTGGAACTAAGTTCTTGGCTCAATATTTATTCATATTTAAACCATTCTAACAGGAAGCAGATAGACCTCAAAACAAGGGTCAACTCCAGTACAATGTTACTGCTCCACCTACTGGTGTTTTAGTGCAACAGCATCCAACAGAAATGAAATGTGAGCCTCGGATGGATTTTTTTTTTTTTTCCTGTTTCTAAAGGCAGAATTGGGCTCTCATTTTTTAGCTGAAATGCTTGTCAGGCCCCACAAGTGCATACATACACTTCATTAAATTTCACTATCATGTTTCCTGCTTACCTGTCTCATGACTGAAATCCTCTTTTGGTGGCTGTGAGGGGCGCCCCTGCCAGGCCGGACCCAATGCTGCGGACTCAGGCCAAAGCCACTGCTGGAAGGCAGTGACTGAGTCCTTGGCTTTTGGTGGCCAGTGCACCAAGTGGTGCCAGGCTCTGCCTGCTGGCCACCCAGCAGTGAGCTCTGGGGTTTTTAGGCTATAAAATTGCTGCCTAGGACACCCATGAATAAGGCCAGTTTTAGTATAGGTGAGAGATGAATTCTGGGTGATTCCTAGTAACAGGATCAAAGTGGATGGTAGCATCAAGTCCCCATGGATTTACATTCCCCTGGACACATTTGAAAGAAAAAGGTTTATCAAATTGCCCAAACTGACAGCATGGCAATTGCAACCAAGTCTCAAAGCCAAAAGCTGTGCAGATCCCATTCTTGCTGGATCGCGGGAAGGAAAGCATCCTGATATTGTGATTGCAGCTGAGAGCCCTGGGCTGTGCTCCCTGCTCCCTTGCAGGCTGCCCCGCCTACCTCAGGGCTCCCTAGCAGCATGTTTAATTCTCACTGCTCTGATGCTGGCTCCCAGCGGTTGCCTCCTGTAATACAAATGGGGAAAATGGAATTGAAAGGCTTACTTTGGTGCGAAATATTTGAAATCTATGTATGCTGTCTTAGAATATTTACTTCTACTAAATTTCTGGAGGCCTCTGGTATAAATGATCTCTAAATTCTTTCTGCATAAAATAAACCTATTTTTAAATTTTAATTTCTGCTAACTTCTTGACTTCCTTCCGTATGCATTCTCCACTGTTTAAACTGTACATGGAAGATCCTTAAACGTAACTGAGTGTAAAAAGGGGAGGAGGTAGTTTTTGAGTCATTTCATAACCTGGGTTTGGATGCTGTGTTGGCACTTGAACCGGGCATCCACAGGCAGCTTGTTTCCTGGGAACATTGGCCTGCCCCATCCCACTAAGCAGCAAGGGCCCCTGGCTACTGACCTCTCCTTGGACCGCTCAGCCTAATTTTCAGGTTCAAAGCCAGGGCGTTAGCTATTTTTCCTGCGAGCCACTCCATGACCCGTGTCCCTCTCCATTCTACAGAGGGAAATAAGAAGCTTCTAGAGTTTCTCGGGCTTGCACCCAGGGGCACCACGGCTTGGGCAAGTGCATAAACAGCGTTTGTAGGGAGCTTCCCCACCCCACACCAACGCCGAGCCCAACGCAGCCAGACCATAGAGTCGGTCCTCCAGCGTCCCAGAGTGGGCGCGGAAGTACCCCATGGCCTGAGCTGTTTTTCCGGCCGGGCCGTCCCAGCTTTTGTCCCGCCGCAGTCCGGGCTCCCGCGGCGCCGGCAACACCAGTACGTGAGTCCGCGGCTACCCGCGCTTCCGCCCCGCGCCCGTGCCTGCCACGCCCTTCCCTGCTAGGCGGGTCCCGGCTGCTCCTGCAGCCCCGGGCGGGACCTGGGAGCCGGTAGGGATCTCGTCTCCGGACGCGCGAGCCGAGGGAGCCATGGAGGGGCCTAGCTCTGAGCTTGTGCTCCATGCAGGCCTCGGCTGCAGCCTTCCGAGCTGGCCAGGGGCGCGTTAAGGCCGGTTAGGATTCCAAAAAGCGCTGCAGCCTTGCTCCCGTGTTTCTCTCCACTTTTAACGGGTCTGGGAGGAAGTGGACTCTGAAAGCCAGCGCCTTAAACTACCCCTCTTTTCCAGCCCCGGTAGCGATTTTGCCCTGCTATTTGAGAGGGAATTCCTGCACCTGAGGGGACTCCAGCGGAGACAGGCTTCGACCTCCCCACCCCTCTCTCATGGGCGGTGATGCTAACTTCTCCCGGGAAGGCTCGCTGGTGTAACGCGCAGCGGAGCTTCTGCAAGCCGAGGAGGAGGAGTGGACTCGGTAGAGAGGAAGGCGGGGAGTGCGGCGGCTGCTGCGTTGCAAGAGAGCTCCCGAGGTAGCCAGCGAGACTATTTTTTTTTTTTTTACAAGCACCTGGCTCTTTTAAAAACGAATTTTAAAATATGTGATACATTCTTATGGTTCTGATACGAAAAACACAAAAAGTTATTTTCCACTCAGCGGTTATCGCAGGTTCCACGTCCTTAGTTAACCGTTTTTGTAGATTTGAAGTGTAATTTTCCAGGATCTTGTTAGCAAATCCAGGGAAATGTAAATATCATTGTTTCCCCTTTTTAAACGCAGATGGTGGAGTAGGTTACATCTGTCCCCTTTTCCTTACTCATCTCTGCATTCTCGATGATAGGGCATTTCGTTTATATGCCATAGTATTAGATTGGCCATTATTTGGACGTTCTGTAATTTGTAAGTTTTATTCAGGGAATTATGGGTTGCTTCCGATTTGTTACCTCATTTGCACACTGATGTATAAGATGAGGGCTTTAAAAGAAGGGAGTCGATCATAAAATGAGTTTTATTTTATTTTACATTAAGTCAAGCAGTTACTGGCACATTGTTAAAGATGCCAAATTATTAATAATGCTTCGTGTATAGTGTTGAAAGGACAGTTAACTAGCCTTTTCCTCTGGTCCTTGCCTAGGTGATGTCTAGTCTTAGCCCAGCAGACTAACTCCCCATGACTCTTCAAGCCACCTTTCACCTTTGCTCATGTAATTTTGAAAAATGACTAGAAATCTTTTTCTATACAGATGTAAGCATGTTCTAGTTCATTTATTTTACTTTAAGGAAAGTTGACCTTTGTTATTTCTACCTTTGAGCAATACAAGCATCTCATGTTGACCCTTAAAAGTCTGGTATTTATAAATATGCAGTAATAACTAGAGCACCAACCTCTTTTCTCTGTATGCCATCACTCTTGTTCCTCTTACTCACGGCTTATTTCCTTAGGTACTCTTCTCAGTTGGTAAGCATTTTATTTTATAATCACATTTTATTTTTTTTTCTTTAAGTCAGATGTGATGATTAGAAATTTTAAGGTACAGATGTGATTGTAGGATTGGTTTGTGGAATACTTGTATGCTTGGACTCTGGAAATTGAAATTAGCTACTGGTATATGCTAATTGTTGCTTGATGCAGTTGTTATTAACGAGAAATGAATTTCAGCCAGATAATCTTAATTCCTCTTTTATGAGTTGTTTAGGTTCTTGATTCTTCCAGGCAGGGCTGGTGGGAACTAAATGAGGTTTCTTATCTGCATGCATTTTTCTTGGTATTGTTGGTACATTGTGAACAGGAAGTATAGAGGTTATTTGTAAATAATAGATGAAATTCCATGAATATCCTCTTGACTAAGGTAACCAGCCCATAAAGATGTTTTTTTGTTTCTGCTGAAAAGAGGTTGGAGAAGGGCTTTCAGTCCAGGTTTTCAAACAGAGGATGGGCCTGGCACGATGGCTCAGTGACTAAATCCTCACTTTGCAAGTGCCAGTATCCCATATGGGTGCTGATTTGTGTTCTGGCAGCTCCGCTTCCCATCCTGCTCCTGGCCTGTGACCTGGGGAAGCAGCAGAGGATGGCCCAGATGTCAGGACTGATTGAACAGACAAGAAGATGCTTAACGGAGAAATGATTTTATTAAACTACACTGCGGCCATCATCCATGCTTTTAGGATGATGCTCCTTGTGTAAGGACATACAGACTTTTCTATCCCAAAAGCCAGGGTGGCAAGCTTTACAAAGGCCAGGATATGTAAGCTTTTGTTCATTACTGTCTTGGGTGGAACTAAGAGTCTCTAGAGTTGGTTTTGCTATGTTAATTATTAAACAGAGCCAAAAAGGAAGAGCAGCATAACCCAGCTGAACAAAGAGAGAGAAGAGGTGCTAGCCTTGGGGTTGGGGTACTTCTTCCATAATTTACAACCCATTAACCCATTTACAACTGGAGGGAGACATGAAGGAGAGATAGCATTGGGATTTGGTTGCTCCAAGAAATCAGGTGTTCTTGGCTTGTGATAAGTCCACAGACATTATCAGCTTCTTCACCCAAAGCCTTGGGTTCCTGCACCTGCGTGGGAGACCCACTCCAGCCATTGCACCCACTTGGAGAGTGAACAAGTTCTGTTTGTAAATCTGATCCATCTTTCCAATAAAATCTGCCTTAAAAAGAAAAACAAAACAAAAGACGAAACTTATAGGGGATGTTAAGTTTTTCCAGCCTTCTCTGTAGAAGAGTGGGCTTTTGGAGTAACTTTTTTTTTCCTTAAAGGTTTATTTTGGGGCTAGCACAGTGCTTCACAGGCTAATCCTCCGCTGCTGTACTTGCAGTCCAGCTCCCTGCTAATGGTCTGGGAAGGTAGCAGAGAGTGGTTCAAGACTTTGGGCCCCTGCACCTGTGAAGGAGATCTCAAAGAGGCTTCTGGCATCCAGATTCTGACCAGGCCACCTCTGGCCATTGTGGTCATTTGGAATGATTAAGTGGGTGGAAGATCTCTTTCTTTCTATAATCTTCTAAAAAACATTTCATTTTTATTTGAAAGGCAGAGTTAAAGCGAATTTGCATTTGCTAGTTCATTCCCCAAATGGCCGAAATAACCGAGCTGGGCTAGTCTGAAGCCAAGGGCCAGGAACTTCTTCTTGATCTTCCACATGGGTGAAGGGGTCCAAGGACCTCATCTTTCCTCCAGTGCTTTCCCAGGCCATTAACAGGGAGATGAATTAGAAGTGGAACAGCCAGGACTAGAACTAGGGCCCATATGGGATGCTTGGTCCATAGTAGAGGCTTAGCTTGCTACAGCACCCATCCCGTCAGTTCCTTTCTTGTGTCCAAAGGGAATGCATGACTCAGGTGCCACATCAGTCTTCTTGGCTGAATATAGTAACCCTCAACAATTTCAAAACTCAGTTTTCTCTTCCCCACCTAGTAGTCTGCACAATTTAAATGACCTGGGCAGTTCTGTCCAAAGCAATGAAGATAGGCAGAATAATGGCCTATAACCTCTGATGATGTCTTAATATTTAGTACTTATTATTTTATTTAATGTTTTGTGAACCTCTGTTAGCTTTAGGTTTCAAATTCACTGAGTGATATTGTATTTTATCTTCCTGATGATACCTGAATTCCCTGCTTTCTCTGTTATGCAGATTTTTATTTGAAGTCCATCATTCCTGTGAGTATAAACTGGATCATAACTTTTCTTATTCACTCCAAAGTATATTTTACCTTTTATGCCCCGCCTACTTCTTCCTTGTGTATAAATTCTATATTTACATATAGAATTTCTAAGTTAAATGAATAGACTTTCATAGCACTGACCCAGTGAAGGAGTGCTCTGTATATCCACTAAGGCTAATCATAAAATATATAATTGTTTAAAGTTGGGTGATAACCAGCTTAGAATGGTTTTGTTTGTTCTTAGAGTCAGTTTGTCAGTGGATTGTGGATGCTGATAGAATGATAGTCCTTTACAGAAAACCTGTAAGAGAACAAAAGAGCACTTGTTTAGACCTTAAAATCTACTTTGGGAAGGAATATCTTTCTTGATAAGGTTTATCCTCAGGTTCTGAACCAGATCCAATATCTTAGCCTAAAATTCTCCACCACAGTTTTATAATAATAAAATTAGAAGCATGTAGTGCCACCAAGTGACATGCATTGTTCTCAATGTTTGAAACATGTTGTCTCAATTAGTATTTACAGGAAACTTACCGTCTTCATTTTAGAGAAAATGTTTCTCCAAGGTTAATATTCTCAAGGTTCTACAGCTAGGTATTTGAAGTAAAGCAATATTATTTCCAGTTACCTTATGATTTGTGTTTTTGCTTTTTTAAACAAGTGGGGTTCTTTTGTTTTGTTTTTACTATTGATCTATGATATACCCTGATTGTAATTAGCCCATTCATTCTTAAGAATGGAAGTATCTTTCCCTGGCAGGTTGGACTTTGCACAGTTCTTTGGCTACTTACTTTCTAGGATTGGTATTAATGTTAGCGGGAAGGTTTAGAAAGCCATCCCAACTAAAGATAATTTCAAATTGTTTACTTTGCCTTTTCTGCATCCACTTTTATGATGTTATAACTCATTTGCTGGTATGTGTATCTAGGTGCTGATTTCTCTTTAGTTTTGCTTGTCGGCTAAATATGTCTAACATCATAATTAAAAAGAAAACAAAAAGCACCTAAGGTTTTTCTTATTTTTCTGTTTCAGAGAAGACTGCTGCCCTATTTTTTCACAGTTCAGTGATAGATAATGTGCAGACTGATCAGTATGACTCTTAGTTTTGTACGTTATTTCAATCCATTCATCCTATTCTTTTGCTCAGAGGTTAGATAAGAATAGAAATACTGTTAACATTGAAAAATCCTGGGCTCTAGCATCTTAACATTAGTGGCAGAAATTTTGTCATTTCCATTGCTTGTACACCCAGTACTTAAAAAAGGGACCTGTCACACAGCATATAGTCAATAAATACTGATCATGTGAATGCATGAGTTTTGAAATGATTCTTTCAGTTTCTCCTAAACAAAGCAAAAAAGTATCTTTATTTTTCTTTTTTTAAATTTAGTGTCACAATTGAAGGATCTGAGGATGAAGAAACAACCGAAAAGTATGAAAATGTTGGAAATACAGAGTGGTCAGAAGTAGGATTTCATTAGAATAACATGCAGGAATCTAAGCTTGGTGCAACTTGTGACTGGGATAGCAAGGTAAAGATACAACTGGAAAAGACTGAGGAAAAAAGAATGAAGGAAGACAAGGGTGACATAATGGAAAAGACTGACAAAACCAAGAACTTGGCAAATATTAAGATGGAACAGGAAGATGAAACTTCTGAGAAAAGGCTATATGTAAGCACCAAACATCAGATTGTAGAACAGCAAAACACCGAGCAAGACAGCCATGTGGAGACCCTTAATGGAACATTTTACCCTGATCTACAGCTGCAAACGAGCAGTGTTAAAAAATCACATCAATGTGATGAGTGTGGGAAATCATTCAAATATAATTCCCGCCTTGTTCAACACAGAATCATGCATACGGGGGAGAAGCGCTATGAGTGTAATGACTGTGGAGGAACTTTCCGTAGCAGCTCCAGCCTTCGAGTGCACAAGCGCATACATACTGGGGAGAAGCCGTATAAATGTGAGGAGTGTGGGAAAGCTTACATGTCCTACTCCAGCCTTATCAACCACAAGAGCACCCATTCTGGGGAGAAGAACTGTAAGTGTGATGAGTGTGGAAAATCCTTCAATTACAGCTCTGTTTTGGACCAACATAAGAGGATACACACTGGGGAGAAGCCCTATGAATGTGGTGAATGTGGGAAGGCCTTCAGGAACAGTTCTGGTCTCAGAGTCCACAAAAGGATCCACACAGGAGAAAAGCCCTATGAATGTGACATCTGTGGGAAAACCTTCAGTAACAGCTCTGGCCTTAGGGTACACAAAAGGATCCATACAGGGGAGAAGCCCTATGAATGCGATGAGTGTGGAAAGGCCTTCATTACTTGCAGGACACTCTTAAACCATAAAAGCATACACTTTGGAGATAAGCCCTATAAATGTGATGAGTGTGAGAAATCTTTTAATTATAGCTCTCTCCTCATTCAGCATAAAGTCATCCACACTGGAGAGAAACCTTATGAATGCGATGAATGTGGGAAGGCCTTCCGAAACAGCTCAGGCCTCATAGTGCATAAAAGGATCCACACAGGAGAGAAGCCTTACAAGTGTGACATCTGTGGCAAAGCATTCAGCTACAGCTCAGGCCTCGCAGTCCATAAAAGCATTCACCCTGGGAAGAAAGCCCATGAATGTAAGGAATGTGGGAAATCGTTTAGTTATAATTCACTTCTTCTTCAACATAAAACCATTCACACTGGAGAAAGACCTTATGTTTGTGATGTATGTGGGAAAACTTTCAGAAACAATTCAGGCCTGAAGGTTCATAGAAGACTCCATACTGGGGAAAAGCCGTATAAATGTGATGTATGTGGGAAAGCCTATATCTCACGCTCTAGCCTTAAAAACCACAAAGGAATTCATCTTGGGGAAAAACCTTATAAATGTAGCTATTGTGAGAAATCTTTCAACTACAGTTCTGCCCTTGAACAGCATAAAAGGATTCATACAAGGGAAAAACCATTTGGGTGTAACGAGTGTGGAAAAGCCTTCAGAAATAATTCAGGCCTCAAAGTACATAAACGAATCCATACGGGGGAAAGACCTTACAAATGTGAAGAATGTGGGAAAGCCTACATCTCGCTCTCCAGCCTTATAAATCATAAAAGCATACACCCTGGAGAGAAGCCCTTTAAGTGCGATGAGTGTGAGAAAGCCTTCATCACATACCGAACACTTACAAATCACAAAAAAATTCACCTTGGGGAGAAGCCCTACAAGTGTGATGTGTGTGAGAAATCTTTCAATTACACCTCACTCCTTTCTCAACACAAAAGAGTACACACCAGAGAGAAGCCCTATGAATGTGACAGATGTGAGAAGGTTTTCAGAAACAATTCAAGCCTTAAAGTTCATAAAAGAATACATACTGGGGAGAAGCCCTATGAATGTGATGTGTGTGGAAAAGCCTACATCTCACATTCCAGCCTTATTAACCATAAAAGTACCCATCCTGGTAAGACACCCTACACATGTGATGAATGTGGGAAAGCTTTTTTTTCAAGCAGAACTCTTATGAGCCATAAAAGAATCCACCTTGGGGAGAAACCCTTCAAGTGTATTGAATGTGGGAAATCTTTCAGTTACAGCTCACTCCTTTCTCAACATAAGAGAATCCACACAGGTGAGAAGCCCTATGTATGTGATAGGTGTGGCAAGGCATTCAGGAACAGCTCAGGCCTCACAGTACATAAAAGGATCCATACAGGTGAGAAGCCCTATGAATGTGATGAGTGTGGGAAGGCATACATCTCACACTCAAGTCTGATAAACCATAAAAGCATACACCAAGGTAAGCAGCCCTATAACTGTGAGTGTGGGAAATCTTTCAATTATAGATCAGTCCTTGACCAACACAAAAGGATCCACACTGGAAAGAAGCCATACCGATGTAATGAGTGTGGGAAGGCATTTAATATCAGATCAAATCTCACCAAACATAAAAGAATACACACTGGAGAGGAAACTCTGAATGTGATAATGGGAAGTCACAGTGGCACATTCCAGATGAGAACTTATGAGGGAGTGAATGTCCTGGATGGGACCAGGATGAGGATCCCTCTGTAGAAGATGAACAAGTCTCGAAGAACTCAAGTGTAAGAGGGTGGAATCTTTCAGATTTAAAAATATCTGAGGTCTATATTCGTGGTTTATAATTTTTGTAGTAAAATGAAACCATTTTAGATGACTGTGACTATCCTTTCTCTGTGGTTTTTGATCATAGCAAGGAAGGCTCCAGTATCAAGGCAGTTGAGCTCTTTGGAATATAACATAATTCGTAATAGCTTTAAAATCTATTATAGAACATGAAATAATTCAAAACAAGCAGACACGACATAAAAAAAAAGAAAGGAATTAAGCATATAGTTACCCTAAGAAAGTTCATATTTGAAGAAATTTTATTGAAAACAAGGGAATAGCTTCAAATTGGTGAAAGAGATAAATATAAGGAAGGCCTTTAAAAGTAAATTCAGGGAGAGGTAGGCTTCAAGGAACATAAATTTATTTATCAACAGTAATCTTGAAGTACAAAGTTGATATAATTGAATAATTTGGTGGGGTGGATGGTAACTTCTGAAAGAAAATTTGGGTTTCCTTTTTGGGGATGTACAAAGTAGAAACATTCCTAATGAGATAGGATACAGTCACTCATAAAAGTACAAATTTAGTATTATAATAGCATTAGTTGAGTGGGTGAAATTTTTTAAAAGTATTGCATTGAAACTTTTTCACTGACAAATATGTATCTAAGTGTAAATCTACAAGATTATGCGACAGTGAAAAGTTCTTCCATGGAGGGAATTTGCACCTTACAAGACAGAATTGAGTCAGGGATTCCAAGGACTAGAAATGTTGGGAAGGAAGGTATATTTTCAGCTAAAAGGCTAGCTACCTGTAAGCAAGAGAGAGGAGGAAACTGGTGTTTCTTAATAATCCTTTTAGGTTTCTGAGTGTTTTGAAATGTGTTATTGTATAGATTCCATGTATTGTGTGTGTATTGTCTGTTGTAAAAGCTTATGAATATATTTGTACAGGTTTCACTGTTTTTGCCATGCAGGTTAGACAGCTATGGCAAGGAAAGGCCAACTACAATAAAGAAATTCCTCAAATATAAGCATGCTGTGACTTAATTTAGATGATCAATATTAAAAACCAACTAACTGCATAGATTTTTAGTGGGTAAGTTATATCAGATCCAAACCAGAGGATAGTTACAAAGCTCTTTTTTAATGCGACTTGCAACTTAGTGTTTATCACAAATTAGGTGGAACCTCCACTGAAAACACAGAATGGGTTTCTATACTTGAGCTGGACCATAGCTTGTGGGAAATATTGACACAGAATTCTGTAACAAAACAGAAGTTAACATGGAAAAAATAAAAAGGAATACAATATCCTCTGAATCTCACGCTAGCTCATTCTTTAAACACCCACAGTTGCCAGGATTGGCCTGGGTTGAAAGCCAGAAACAGTTTAGTTTTCCTTTACAGCTGGCAAGGGGCCTAACCACTCAGGTCATCACATAATGCTTCCTAGAATCTGCACCAGCCAAAAGGAATTGGGAAGTAGAGCTGGCAATTGAAACAAGGTACTCTGATTTGGTATATGGACTAACTGTATCTCAAGTACTAGGCCAAATGCCTGCCTCTGGAATATGCTTAACTATGAAGCTGTTAGCTAGTTAATTCAAAGGTTAAGAGTAGACTGTTCTGCAAGGTGAATAACCTGTTTAAGAATATGGTGGGTTGGATACAACAGTACAGGTAATTTAAAGTTGGGTACCTGACATCCAAATCCACTGCCTTTCTAAGAGAATAATCTCTAGTCAGATAATTCTCTGTCCCTAGTATTCCCATCTCTCTCTAGCTATGTATGTCTATGACGCTTTCTAGCAGTATAATTCTTCCATTGTCTCCAAACCCCTAAATGTTGAGGGATGGGGTTGTGAAGAGCAGAGATGCGAAGTATGTGAAAACTGAACCCTTATTTTGGATATCTATTTATATACTTGATAATTCTCTACTCGTCATGTTGGCAAATCTGACCCTATCAAAGACTATCCAGCAAATACTTCTGGTTGTTCTCAGTGTAACTCGCTCTCCTGGAAACTGGGTAAGGAATGGACTGCAGGGAATAATTTCTGGTAGGTGATAAATAGAAGATCAAATATTCCAGAGGCTTACATCAGAATGATATCATATTACTGATTAGGCTGTTTCCTGCAAAGGTGACAGGGAAAAGTAATCCCTGAAAATTCCGGAAAAGGAATTCTATACATGCACGACCACAAGTGGAGAAACACTGTTGTGTTAATGTTTACATTGACACGTACCATACAGATGTATCATCATCACCATATGCTGCGAAATTTCAGGAAATTGGTTCAGAACAAAACATCATGGTGAACAATCTACCACTTTTCTCCTGTCAACATTTTCTTCCGTATTATTTCTTTGCTTCCATATAGTAAGTGGATTTCCTCAGAGGACTGAATTGTGATTATAAGAGTGTCCGAAGTAGTAGCTTAACTAATGGCTAACATTTAAAAATACTTCTTGTTGTATTTTGATTAATATATACTCATAGATTAAATATGAGATCATAAAGCTCCATAGAAAATGGCAAATCTAAAAATATTTCTAGTTTACATCTAGTTCTCAAAATAGGGGTTAAAGTTCTTTATCACATAGTAGAGTGGTACTGCTTAATTCAGGATTAAAAATTGTTTCTGTGCTAATTATTGCTTGCTGTCTTTGCCTTGTTACCTGCCTTTTGTGTAAATGTGTCAGGACATGTACTAACATAAAAATAATGGTATCTTAACAATTATAAAATATTTACCTAGCTACTTCTTGTTGGCCTCAGGTAGTAGAGTAAGTCACTTGACTTACTTTGTAGTTCTGGTGTTTCAGTTGCCTTCTTATTGCTCAAATACGGCCTGCTTTCTTTTATTACTTATATATATATTTATTATTTATATTTAGCTGTTACAGATAACAAATGCACCCCCAAGAGGCACATACTTTGCTTAGCTCCATCCCAGTAGTGGGGTTTCTAGTTCTTAGATTGATCATCAGTGGTACCCTGTGAGTGTTGCTCAAAAGGTGGAAATGTCAAGAAAATGGAGTACGTCTGATTAGTAGCAAGGAATTAGTTGAGAGATCATGTTAAACCAGATTTTTAGATGTGCCGGTAACTGATCCTTAGAAGTGGTTGTAGACATTATTCCCTCACCTCATGCATGCTTTTTAGGGAATAACTGCAATGCACTACTTGTTACCACCCGCCCCAAGAGACTGAAAGAACTAGTTCCTATTTTATAAGACAGTGTAACTTTTATTTATTTATCTTTTAACTGAAAAGAGAATCACCTGCTTATTCACTATCCAAATGCCCACAATAACTTGGGCTAAGGTAGGGGAAGCCAAGAGCCGAGAACCCAACAACCGCTGCCTTCTAGGGTCCGTATGAACAGAATGCTGGAGTAAGAAAACGAGTGGAGGCTCAAGCATGGCACTCCAGTGTGGTGTGGAGGCTTCTTAACCAATGTCAGCCATTGTGTGAAGTGCCCCAGAACAGCTTAATTTGCCAGAAATAATCATAGTTCTTGAGACGCAGAATATATATAACCAAAACACCCTTTGTGTGTTTAATCTTAAAATACAGATACAACCACCAGTTTGTTAATCATGTTTTCAAGATTGCTCCAGTCTGTCTTCCCAGACTGCAATTATAACAAATAAGTGTAATTTTGGTTCCAACTAGAGTTAATTTTATCTTTGGTTACATTAACAAAACAAATCAGGGAGAGGTTTCTCACACCTGAAATAACTGCACTGAAATAAAAAAAAAAAAATCTGTGCCTATGTGTTGCCAGGACAGCTATAGAGAATGATGCTATTCTAATTTGGAAGCCTTACAAAACTTGAAGTGCATGCAAATGACAGCCAATGCCTATATCAGATCAACAACAACAAAAATTCATCTCTAAAATATAATTTCTCCAAAGTGTCTAGTGTGTCAGTACTCTGAATGTTAAATGCAGTTATAAAAATAGCTTTCTATATTACTTGCTGATTAATCTGACAATCTGATTTGGACATAAAAAAATAGTATATATAAAATTTTTTCTATGGGGGATATTTCTAGAGACATGGAGGGAAAAAAAAACACTTGAAATCACATGTCTATAGTGTGAATATTCAGTTTGGGATGAATGAATGATTTCCTGTAAAGTACTGGATGCTTGGCTGAAATTAGCTAAGGAAAATAAAAAATTTCCTTATTTTTATATCTCCCTAAATCGTTTTTTTAAGGACATCAGCTCATGTATCTGCATCTGACAGAAGAGTGTATAATTCTTGGTTTTGGCTCCTGACTCCACAATACCGTTTAAGGTCCACTTTAGGAGTCAATGATAATGGCTCAAGTAGGTACTTTATTTCTGTCCACATGGAGGATCCAGAATTCCAGCACGGGCTCCTTAGGTTATTGTAGAAACCCTTTTTCTTCCTGCCTCTTAATTCTCCTCCCAATCAATACTGGATGGTTGTCAATATTTTATATTTGCTTTCTTTTCCTACAAATAATATACACATAACTGTCAACACGACAGCCTTCCTAATTCCTCAAGCCTTAACGAATGGGTGAAGGGCATTCCCTTGAGGGAACACAGTAAGTGGCCCGTCTGTAAGGAGTTCCGTTGATACCCATAACTGAGACAGTAGAAGGGTATGTATGACCAGAGTGGGCGGTAGTCCCCATGTCCACCAGGAAATTGATGGACTTACCCGCTATCTCGACTAGGGCCTGGAGTTAAGCCAGAGTGATGGAGGTGTCTGTCCCTGGACCCCCTTAATCCTCAGCCAGTCCTAGGAGTTCCAGGGTACGCAAGACTGCTTTGTGGGGGAGGGGGCATGTGGTGCTCTGTGGAGGTGGAGTACCAGACGCCTGCACTGGGCAGTCTAACCCCCAGTGACCTGGTTGGTTACAGTTACAGTGCAGCCTTGGTAGGCTTGAAAGGGCATGGGCATTGTTGGGACCAGTGTCCCTCCTGGCCACATTTAGACCAGGCCCCTGGTGTTGTCTGGGTCCCATGAGGAGCAGTAGGCTAACAGGGCTACCATGCATGCCTGGGACTGGAGGGCAACCTTTTTCTGTAGCTTTACCTGCCTCATGTGTTTGGCTGTCTCTTCACAAGTGTTGTATGAATGCCATTTTTGCCAGATCTTGGGCAGGGGTCTGAGGGACCTCTTTTGCTCTTCTGAGGTTTTTCCGAATATCTGGGGCAGACTGGGAAATAAAATGGGTTGCCAGGGAGATTCCGGGTCCAATCTGGCATACTTAATAAGGGCCTTACTCAACTTGTTGAGAAAGAGTGCTGGGTTTTCATCTGGTTCCTGAGTAATCTCCCACAGTTTATGACCACCGATTTAGAAACTGTCTGCATGCCCACCAGGATATGTTGGACCATGCGAACCACACTGCAGCAGCCCTACTGACCGTGCTGGTACTCCCAACCAGGAGGCATATCTGGGACCACCTGAGCCCCTGGTCGGAGGGTCTGGTCGATGAGGTGTTGCTGATTTGCACGATCCTGGCTGCCTGGAAGATGCAGGTTCATTCCTCAGATGTGAGGATGACATAAATATCTCACCAAGTTAAATCATAAGCCTGGGAGAGATGCTTAAATTCCGTAATGTACATCTCCCAACCAGCAGAAAGGGAGCCCAAACGTTGCTCGATTTGAGAGATCCTGGATGGAGTAGGGGACATGGACCTGAAACATTCCCTCTGTTCCGGCCACTTCACGAAAGGGACCTACATGGACCTGTGAGCCAGCTGCCTGTTTGGACAGGCAGGTTTGGGATCTGGTATGTGTGCTGATAGGCGGGGGAGGAACCAGGGTAGTGGCTGAGTAATGGGGGCTGAGGGGGAGGTGGGGAGAGGGAGGTGAATCCACGTGACCTGGGTTTGGCATTGGTGGGAGAGTTGAAAATGGTGCATGTTCTGAAGATGGTGCCAGCAGGTTACAAGCGTAAGTAGAAGAAATGGCGGCATCTGGGCTAATGTAGGGAGGAGGTGGGGCAGGGGTAAGGGTGGAGATGGAAGGGAGATGTGGGAGTTGGGGAGAGTCCCAGGAGTTCTGGTGGCTTGGAAAAGGAATCATTAGGTTGTGGCTCTTCAAAAAAATTTTTTTTTTTTCACTCAAGAAACCATGTCAGAATGCAAGCAAGTAAGCATATGTCCTCAGAAATGGCCTCAAATGGTGTAGTTTATTTTAGAGGGCCAGTCATCTGAAACAGCTGGTTAACAGATCCGAAGAATGACACATGGTGTGAGACATGTGACTGACTCCAGTCAGCAGGACAACGGTGAGGTGGATGGCAGTAGTCAATAAACTTTCAGAAGCTGGTAATCTTTTTTTAATGCTTGCTGCGAACACTCTAAGGAATGTTTGCTGAGGGTGTTAAAATGCTTTTAACATTCATTCTTCCATTGTTTTGAAGGAGCCTAATATTGATTCTGAGTTAAGTCTATTTGTACGCCACATCTTCATCTCAAAATAATGTAGAAAACAGCAATCACAGACTCAGCAACATATCAGAGTTATACTTTGAAGGACTAATACATGTGTTTTCCTTTTTATGATTAATTCTTGACATCTGTTTCTAAAATTAGATATGGTTACTCTGGTTTAAAATCCATTTCAAAAAAGATGAATTAAAACTGCTAACTCTACAGGCCTTAACAGTTACAGCTGTTTTGCTCACAGTACTTTCCAACCACGCCTACGTGAGAGGGTACTTTAGAAAAGCAGAGGAAAGGATTTAGTTGAGGGATGGGAAGAGCTCGCTGCTGCAATCAGGATCAGGATTTAAGCTCTCAACACCAAACTCAAGACTGCAAAGCATTCATTTGATTTTGGTTGTACCTGAAGGATTTTGATTGAACTTGCACTTGTTTGTGCCCTTCAACAGGAAGTTCCTCTCTCCTCTGGTTCCCTTCAGGAGCTGTTGGTGATATTCCCAGGAGTTAATCCTGATTAATATTATATACGTCTAAATACCATCATACCTTTTCCGAATTGCCTTCAACTCTTTTCACTTATTTCCTTTTGTTAGTTACTGAAGATGAGTGTCCCCTCTCTATGTGACCCAAAGTATCCTGAAGAAACCTGTTTCTGTGTTCTTGTCACACCCTTACTCCCCCAACACTTCTTTCTTTCTAGAGATTTATTTATTTGAGAGGCAGAGAGATCTAGTCACTGACTTTTTAACATACTGGTCGCCATGTTTGGGGTTGGTTCAGGCTGAAGCCAGGAGGCAGGAACTGTACCTGGGTCTCCCTCATGTGTGGTAAGATCACAAGCACTAGGGTTATCGACCTAAACATATTACATCCTCCCTTTCATCTTTCCTCCAGGCAAGTAGAAATCCAGTAGAGAAAAGCTTCAGCCTATTAGCCGAAGCCCCGAAGGAGTCAAGGCTGCAAATATTGACTATATATCAGGAAATAAACTTCTGGTTTAAATGCAGATTCATTCTTAAAAACAAACCAACTGGTGATAATCAACCTGTATTGTTAAGAAAGGTGTTTAAAAACTTCTCTTTGTGGCGCCGGCATCCTATATGGGTTCCAGTTTCTGTCCGAGCTGCTCCACTTTCAGTCCAGGTATCTGCTTATGGCCTGGGAAAGCAGCAAAGAATTACCTAGATGCTCCTGCACCCATGTCGGAGACCTGGAAGAGGTTCCTGGCTCCTGGCTTCAGACTGGATCAGCTCAGTCTAGCTGTTGTGGCCATTTGGGGAGTGAGCCAGTGAATGTAATATCCCTCTCTTCTCTGTAAATCTGCCTTTTAAACACGAATATAAAAAGAATACATAAAAAGATTTCTCTATGAGGTAATCACATTTTAGGAGTCCTGCAAAAAAGAAGAGGCCAGGCAAGAACTGCTTGTTGCAGCTTCCTCAGAACATTTCGTTTTCAAATGGAGGGGATACTGAGTATTCCTTCATGAAAGCTCAATGCATACCAACACCCTAGCCGTTCTGAATGCTGTGAACTTCTAAACACTAAGGAAATTTATATAGCTCTTTCTGGTTTCATGGCTTCAACTGATCCTCATGAATGTCTTGCCAGGGGGTAAAGGAAAGGCTTAATTATCCTCAATGGTTATGGAATCCCCAGAAACCACAAAATTCAAATCAGTGAACATCTAAGTATGCAGGTAAAAACTCATTGAGTTGAACAAATAGAGACATACAAGACTGTTCCTAAGCTCAAAATTTAGTTTGGTGCAGTGAGGGGGCGGGGGGGGGGGGATACCCTGCTTCATGATCCACTTCTCTGCTAAGGCAGTAGCAGAAGAGGGCAATGGAAGACAGTTCAGCAAGTACTAAGGACGTTGCCACCCATGCAGGAAAACCAGATGGAATTCCAGGCACCCGGCTTTGGCCCAGCCCAGCCCTGCCTGATGTGACCATCTAGGGAATAAATCAGTACTGGAAAGATTTTTTTTTTGTCATATTTTTTAATTCCATTTCTCTTAGCCACTCTGTTTTTCAAACAAATATTTTATAAGACCACTTAAAATGCAATTTTAAAATCTAGGATGGGATTGGCTCCT